TTTATTCTTTGTTACATTCAGTGATAAATTGTTTCTTACTGAAATTATCAGTTCACTGTAGAATAAGTTGTAATCTGATGTGTTCATCCTTCCATGTTTTGAGAGAATAGCCACTCCAAGTTATATGTTTTTAGAGACTGTAAATGATTCTTTTATCGGATTTTCAGTTAGATCTCAGTTTGTTTTTTCTGTCACCAGTTCCCTTTCTTGGGACGAGCCTGGCTTTTGGTGGTGTAGAAGTCTGCCTTTATTACCAACTTCTGTTATTTGTGGGAGGAAACGCTCTAGACTCTTTTTCAGACTCTCTTCTTCGAAATGATTAAAGTAGGCATGGATTTTTTTAAATTTTATTTTACTTTCACGAAAACAAGATGACTTTCATTTTTCTGTTTTCTCAGAAGTTGGTTCCGAAGATGCTGGAAAAATGACAGCTGAAGACAAAATTGTTGTAGACAGAAATGACCTAATCCCAAAAGTGTTAACTTTGAACGTAGGGGATGAGTTCTGTGGTGTGGTTGCCCACATTCAAACTCCAGAAGACTTCTTTTGTCAACAGCTACAAAGTGGCCGTAAGTAAATTTTCTTGATTTGTTCGGTCAAGATAACATCCTTCAAGAGACTCGGCAGCAGAATTAAAGATGCCATGCAGCCTGTGTTTGCCTTGTTTGAGGTGTGATCTCTGTCCACAGATAAGCTTGCTGAACTTCAGGCATCCCTTGGTGACTACTGTGGTCGGGTGTCTCCATGCTTCGATTTTTTCCCAACCATTGGTGATATCTGTTGTGCTCAGTTCTCAGGTAAGGAAAGCAAGAGTAGTGTTGGGTCACTTGTTCATTCTCAAACCCATCCCAACCCACTGTCTTCAAGTTAATTCTGACTCATGGTGACCCTCTCGGACAGAGTGGAACTGCCCCATTGGATTTCCAGTGGAAACTTTTATGGAAGCAGAATGCCTATCATTCTCCCACAGAGTGGCTGGTGGGTTCCAACCACCAACCTTTTGTTTAGCAGCCGAGCGCTTCAAACACGGAGCTACCAGGGCACCCTTACTTGTTCATTACCTACC